TTTTTTCCGGTTCCAACTTTGCCGGGGTTTTACCGAGTGCCCGACAAAAAACACTCGGCAAAGACACCTTTGCCGACCAATTTTTTGCCGAGTGTCCTTTGCCGAGTGCACCTGGCACTCGGCAAAGCCACTGAGTCCGGTAGTGACTGATGCTATGTTCCCTTCAACTGATGGGCCTCCATAGCTTAGCTTGTCCGCGGCGAAATCCACTAGACATGTAAGCAGACAGGAGCTATACAGGGAAATCTTTTGTATATGTGCAATCACCTAAGCCTTTGGCAATGAAGGAACCTCCGGCTAAATAGTCAATTGGATATCTTGGTGAACATGAACATGGCTGCAAACTATGATATAGTGTGTGTGTGTGAACTGATCTTCCATTTTCATCCCTAGTGCCCAGCCACTATTTGCTCAAAAAGCACTTAATGCTTACTTGTTTTTTTCGATATCTTTTGTACTGAAGTACCTCTTATTTTGCAGTTAGTCTAGAGCAGTCGCAATGAATACCTTAAACTGAAAACAAGGGTGGATAATTTATAGAGGACTCAGAGGCAAGTCTGAAAGGAGTTTTCAGAATTCTCATAAGTCATAACCCTCTGAATTAGATATTAATTTATGGAGGCTAAATGAAGAAACCATAATGTAATCGCATTGAAGTTAAAATAAGTTTCTTAATGTGAATGTGTAATGCTTAGCTAAGATGCAGACAATTGATTTTGGCTTTATCGGCAATTACAGGAATTTGCTTGGTGAAGATATGGGGTCACTTGGTATCAAAGAGCTTGAGCAGCTTGAGAAGCAATAGATGTTTATATACATACTTGTAACGTTCACTTAGGTAGAAATCCTTAGTACCAACACCTTGTGCTCTTGTGCTTGTGGTCAGATTCTGGTAAGATTTGAATTATATATATATATATATATATATATATATATATATATATATATATGTGTGTGTGTGTGTGTGTGTTGTTCTGGTCGAATTTGAATTATAAATTTATTTTTTTTTTACGGAAAAATGTACTATAGGGGCGGTTCTAGATTGAACCGCCCCTACAAATCGATTTGTAGAGGCCGCTGGTGTGTTCAGCCGCCCCTACAAATCGATTTGTAGGGGCAGTCTAAGAACCGCCCCTACAAATACATGATTTGTAGAGACGGTATGGTAGGGACGGCTGGCCAAACCGCCCCTACAAATGACTATTAGCCGCCCCTAAAAATCATATCTGACATAGTATACTTTGCTCATGTAGGAACTGCGCTTCAGACATGGCAGCCGCCCTGGATGGCTTGGCAACCTACGTCAGGAAGCACATCACGGACATGGCACAGGAAGAGGTTTCCATGTTGTTACTAGGCGTCTCCGCCGAGATCGCTAAGTTCGAGGACAACATGGAAGCCCACAAAACCTTCCTTTCAGATGTCGAGAGGAGGCGCATCACTGACAGAAGTGTGCAAAGATGGGCGACAAAGCTCAAGAACGCCATATATAATGCTACTGACATCTTTGACCTTTGTCAACTCAAGGCAGACAAGTAGGGATGCAAGTAGGCACGGGCCAGCCCACTAGCCTGCTAGGCCCGCCTGCGAAAATAATCTTGGTAGCCCCTGCAGACACCTGCTACTTGTGGTGCGTATAGATGACCATGCATCCCGCAGCCTGATGGCACGGCCCGCCCGAAGCATGGTGTTTTGGCCCCGTGAAAGCTCTAGTTTGGTTTTAGTGAATTGATGAAACCCTAAATGTTAACCTAGTTTATCTAAGTGATCATGAGATAGGTAGCACTATTCCAAGTGAGGAAGCAATGGTGAAGATCATGATGATGGTGATGTTATGGTGATGATCAAGTGATTGGACTAGAAAAGGAAGAAAGAGAAAACAAAAAACTCAAGGCAAACGTGAAATTGATAGGAGCTTTTCGATTTAGTGACCGAGACACTTAGCGAGTGTGATCACAATTAGGATCGATAGCCATACTATTAAGAGGGGTGAAACTCGTATCGAAATACGGTTTTCAAAGTGCCACTAAATGCTCTAACTCATTGTATATGCATTTAGGATCTAGTGAAGTGCTAACACCCTTGAAAATATTTGTGAAAATATGCTAACACACATGCACGAAGTGTTACACTTGGTGGTTGGCATATTTGATCAAGCGTGGTGAAGTTTGGGGTCAAAAGGAGCTATTTCGTATTGACCGGACTCGGACCATGCGTCCGGTCAATGGTGCGCAGTAAAGGCCGCCCTCGGTCCTTTGACCGAACGCTGAGAAGAAATAGGACCGGGCGCGTTGGGGTGCGTCCGGTCAGGCTATGACATACGCTGATGCAAGTATCAGAACAAGCCAGTGAGGACCGGACCCTGAGCCGCGTCCGGTCATGATTTTGCCTCTCTGGAACCTTACTGGAAATGACCGGACCCAGGCATAGCAGCGTCTGGTCATCCTCGCGGTGCGTGTCCGGTTGCAACTTAATCATTGAGATCGGGTGCTCAGCATTTGAAGCCAGGGATGACGTGGTAGCCATCCGTTGATGGACGCTGGCAGGGTACGTCCGGTCGATCTGACCGGCGTGTCCAGTCACCCCGATTTTCAGTGGACAGTGAAGCCCAACAGCTCTATTTGTGGGGGCTCTATTTAAGCCCCATAGCCAGCTCTAGCTCACTCTCTTAGCCATTTTACATTGACATAGCAACCTTGTGAGCTTAGCCAAAGCCCTCCCACTCATCTCCATCATTGATTCATCATCTTTGTGAGATTGGGAGAGAATCCAAGTGCATTACTTGAGTGTTTGCATCTAGAGGCACTTGGTATTCGTGTTTCGCTGTAGGTTTGACTTGTTACTCTTGGTGGTTGCCGCAACCTAGATGGCTTGGAGCAGCGAGAATCATCGAGGGGAGGTTGATGATTGTCTCCGGCTCCTATCGTGGTGATTGTGATGGGTTCTTGACCTTTCCTGGGCGAGAGTCAAAAGGTACTCTAGTAAATTGCTCATGGCTTGTATGATCCTCATCTTGTGTTGGTTGTGCGGCACCCTATTGAGGGTTTGGCGTGTGATGCCAATTAGCGCGTGAACCTCCAAGTGAGTGAATCGCCACAACGAGAACTAGCTTGCCGGCAAGCAAGTGAACTTCGGTAAAAAATCTTGTGTCACCTTGTCCGAGGATTTCATTGGCTATCTTGTGATTGATTGATTGGCTCCATCTTGTTATTGGCTCATACCTTGACACATCGGTATAATCATCGTCATTCTCTCTTGTATTACATTCCTAGTGTGTAAGCTAAGCTCTTTAGTGTAATTAGTTTTTAGAGCTAGCTTGCGTCAGGACTCAAGGTTAGTGAGGCTCTTTAGTTAGTCTTTAAGAGATCACTAACTTAGTGTAGTGACATAGCCATTGTGTGGATAGAGACTATAGAAACTAGAATTGTGGTAGATGGCTTGCATTTTTAGTAGGCTAGCGCAACACTCGTTTCGTCTCATATTTATCTAACCGGTTTCCTAAGTGTTGTTGTAAAAAAATTTTATAGGCTATTCACCCCCCTCTAGCCATTAGGACCTTTCACCCAACCCGAGCACGGCCCGGCCCGGAGGGCCACAGATTCACTCGGCCATCCCAAAGGGACGAGGTCTCACATCGGCATCGCCTTCGCTCCAGTCCTGCCCGACACTGTTTCCTCCCCTCGGAGGTCGCCCCTCGTGGCCTCGCGCTCCCTTTCCTCGCCGCCCCTCGCGCAACCTTTCCCGCTGGCGCTCAGCAGGCCGCCGGCTGTCCCTCGCGGCCTCGCGCTCCCTTTCTCCTTCACTGGTGACGGCCATGGCTCCCTCCACCCTTGGCCTCGGTGGCTCGATTGGATCCTACCAGGCGTGGGGATTCGGCCTCGAGCACTGCCGCAGACACCGGCCCTGCTCCGCTCCACCACCTGTGGCTCCCTGTCCCTTCCTCCTTCCCTCCCGGCCTCCCCTTCCCTCTCTCAGTGGGCCTCGGGCTGGCCCGGCCTCCCTAGCAGGCCGTGCCTGGGCTGATGGCCAGGCATAAAAGCCTGTTAGGCACAGCCCGAGAGGCCCGACATGCGGTGCCAAGATGGGCCGGGCCGGCCCACTGGAATCTATAGTAGTGCGGGCCTAAATAGGCTTGTCTGCAAAGCCTACTAGACTTTAACAGGTGAACAGTAGGATCTGCAAGTACCCACATCGTCCGCAACCCGCGTCGCCTGCTGCATGTGGCCGCGGGGAAGGAGATCTGTATGCCTTAGCTGCTCCAGCCTCCAGCTACTTACTGCCCACATCGATGTGCATCGCCCCCAGCTGCTTGTTGCCGGCGGCTGCATGCCTTCTTCTTGCTTCCCGCTGCGCGCCATCACGCTGGCCACGAGCACGTACACACCATCAGCATCGCCGGTGGTAGTCACAGACCCGCTGCACGTGCTCAAGATGCGGCAGCTACGCCGGTGCGGAGGACAATGGCCGCTTCATCAGGACTCACCAGGAAGGCAGGGATTAATGGCTTGTTGCTCACTTTGCCGTCACTGCTCGCTGGTGATGGCTGCTTCAAATGGCGACCAAGAACTTGGCGTCAGTGGCTGTACCAAGTGGCACAGGCTACGGCAGGCGTCCACAATCCTGCTTGCCCTCTCCTGCAAAGCCTGGCAGGGAATTGCAGGCAACTAATCGATGTTTGTTGGCTCCTGCAGGACGGTTAATTTTCGCATGCAGTTGTTGCGGTGGCCTGGTGGGCGCCCGCAGGTGGGCCCGCTTGCATCCCTTGACAAGCGCAGGGAGTCCAGAGGTGGCGGCAGCGTGCAACAGAAGGCACCCGGCTGCTTCCAGCCATTGCTCTTCTGCCTTGGAATCCCGTATTCGCACACAAGATAGGCAGCCGCATGAAGGGGCTCAACCATCAGCTGGAAGGCATCCACAAAGAGGTAGACAAGTATAGTATTGGCCTCGGTTCCAACATGGAGCCAAGGATGCTAAGTGCTAGAGAAAGATATAGTTAAAAGATGACGTCTGAGTTCAATGACTCATCAATTGTTGGTAAGAAGATCGAGATGGATACAAAGGAGCTTGGCCAATTACTTATCACCAATGACAACCACTACGACATCAAGGTGGTGTCCATCGTAGGCACTGGCGGCATGGGAAAGACCACCCTTGCCCAGAAGATCTTCAATGAGACAACAATCCAACAAACATCAAACTGAAGATATGGCTGAGCATCACCCAAATGTTCAATGAGGTTGAGGTCCTTCGGACTGCAATTGACCATGCTGGGGGAGTGCATGGTGGGGTTCATGACAAAACTCTCCTCGTGAGGATCCTAACCAACACCTTGTCCATGGGCAAGTTTCTCCTGGTCTTGGATGATTTGTAGAGTGATGAAGCTTGGAGTCATGTGCGCTCTGTTCTAATCAAGAATGCCAGCCAGAAACAACAGGGGAATTGGGTCCTCATCACTACAAGATTAGGAGACCTGGCTCATCGAATGCGAGTGTCCTTCTACCAACACCATGTCAGCCCACTCGATGGAGATGATGCTTGGTCCTTGCTCAACAAACAATTGCCACCAACGCCAAGTCAGGTTAGTCTATATACAAGATTCAGTGACCGAAAAATTTTAGTTTGTTGCAATTGAATGTGCATTCAGTTAAATCTACTGATTTAGAGCTTGTTTAGCTACCATTATTCATTCCAAAAACTATGGTATAAAAATGTAGTCTATAAGAAAAGATGTGCCACTACCCACCTGGGCCATTATTAACAACCTCTATCATTATAAAAAATATGAAAAGACCACTAATATGCATCTAAATTATCCATGTTTTCCATTAGTAAAAGTAATCTAAAGTAACTACAGCCGTAGGCACGTAGCTGCAGCGAGCAGGGCCGGTAATGCTGAGGCTGCTACGGCACACTAGCCAGCCCTGAGCAGCTGCAACGCTGCATATAAAGCAGTGGTTCATTCCAATCAGGGTGAAGCACAAGAATATATAATTTGTTTCGTTAATTTCTGTTCTAGTGCACAAACATGTGAAAGGACATGCTGACTTATCCACACCTAAATTTGACTACTAAAATCAGAAATCGTTTTTGGCAATTTATACAAAATTTAATGCTTTGGGGGTAACTTCCATGGACAACTTCCCATGTGAGGTTGGCCCACAAATGCCAAACTAAACCTTACTAGTGCGGACATATGGTCGATATGTACCGATGTGGTCTCGGTGTGATGAGTGATTGTCAACGTGATTTGCGTCTCGGGTTGAGTTGTTTAACTAACCGTGGCGTGAGTTGGGTCATACAACATGTCTCTTGGTTTGTGGTGCGCAGGTGTGGAGCTCGGAGACGGTGGTCGACGGCGAAGGTGAAGGTCAGGCGGGTTCGTGCTGACGGATCGGGAGCGGTGAAGGACGAATGCCGGGGCATGGACCGAGGGACCAGAGAAGCCGGGTGACCAGCCGTGGTGGCTGACACTTGGGGTCATCGACAAGCGCAAGAGTACATGGGAGTTGACCGTGTTGATCAAGTCAAGACGGCGGACGGGCGAGTCGAGCGGAGGCTCTGGAAGACTTGGCGTCCGGGCGGTCGAAGACGGCGGTGACATGTATCGAGGTGCGGGGGAAGTGTATGGAGTACGCTACTCGTGAGCGGTTTGGTGGATTGGGCCTTAAAACCACCGGCGGAGGGTTTCGCGGGTTTGTCCTCAAAACCCGAGTGCGGTTCCGGCAGGAGGCGGCACGTGACGTCATTGTGAAGCTTGTGTCGAGGCGAAGCAAAGTGGTGAAAGGCGCGTGGCCGTCGGATTAACCGAAATTGAGTTGAACCATAATGCCCTAAGGCTAGGTGGTTCGCTCTAAAATATCTAGGGACATATTTGAGATTGTGTAATAGCCCTAGCTAATAAAAGAGATGGTTTCTCCCCAAACAAACCCACATCTTGAGCTTTTTCTTTCTTCCTCTCTGGGTTTCCTCCTCCTAGATTTTCTCTTGAGGTCCACAAATTCGAAATTTGTGTAAGCTGAGATTTTTTAGTGGGAATGGAGGCCCAATTCCTCCTCTTGTCCTCCGGGATTCACCCAAGCTAGCTACTTTCAATTTTACTTCATTTTTCAATTATACATGAAACTCACATTTTAGCAAATCTATCTCCTTTACATCTTTTTGTCACAAGATATCATATAGCTAGAATTCAACCTCAACCCCTTGCAGAACAGACTTCATCTTTCGCTACACCCCAACCAAAAGAGAAACTCTCATCCTCAATTCATTCCTCTGGGTACAATGAAGAAATAACTCCAGGAGAGCAAGCTCACCATTCATTTACTATGAACTCCCGCTTCTATCATCTCTTTCAAATTAATGTTCCAATATCTTCTTGTCATTTTTTCCATACTTCCTTTTTATTTTTTATTTTTTCATCTTACCATTACGGAATTAATTTTTTTTAAAGATTAAGAAAAAGCCGAAATAGTTTGAAATAAATAATAATTTTTCCGATAGAACCTTCTACTCATAATTGACCATTGATATACGGTATAAACGTAGCCTTAATGAATTAACTGACTTCACTTGTGCCTGTGATTTTCGTGCTTTTTGTTCTTGTTTTCCTCTTCCCATTCTTGCCTTGATTCGACGATTCTAGAGTGTTTTGGTTCGCTCTTTTTGCCCTGATTCGTGCAATGACATGAGTTGACGCTACTCTATGATTTAATTTGATTGAATGAACTCGAGCACGGAGAAATCGAGCGAATTGCGTTTTTTTTGGAAAAACTCGAGTTTTCGGCCATGATCTGATTTTCCCGGAGTTATAGTTGAAATTGAGGGATGATCTCTTGGAGTATGCTCATCAACTTCCTCTAAATTATCTATGCAAAGTTTGGGAACGAATCATGATGATTTGATAGGGTTTTGATTCTTTTTTTTTTTGGAGTTTCTCCTTTTCCCTGTTCGTCCGCTCAGGAGCCGGTCTCAGGACCGATGGCCACCGGTGCCTTGTGGACCGCGGCAGCGCAGCCCCTGCCCGCGTCCCCTGCAGTCGTGTTTCTCCAGAGCCGACCGGTGCTCAGCACGTGTGCCCGCTGCAGTGCGCTGCTCCCTCTCTCCGCGGCAGCGCAGCCCCTGCCCGCTCGCTCTCTGGTTCAGGGCAGATTGCCCAGGCGGCAGTGGCCTCTCTCCTTTCTGTGCAGTGCGGTTCCTCTCCTCCCTCTCTCTGCTTTCTCTCTCTCCCAGAATTCCCGGTCTCAGCTCCTGGAAATTCCGGCCTGTGTTGCTGTTGAGAAAATTGGTTATTTGCCGTTGTAAGTAATGGGCTTCGCAAAATTGCCATTCAAAAAATTGACTTTACAAAATTATCAGCCTAAACATGTATACTTTGTTTTTGTTGCCATATTCCCTATTTACCTCCTTTGTTTCTATTTTTTGGGATTGTCCTCCACACGAAAAGACATTTCTGCCCTTGCTGCTGGGAGACATCGAGCGGATCACCGTTCGCACCTTGGCTGCGTCAGACGTCAGGCAGATCAACTGATATCTGAATCAAATGGCCTGCATGCTTGTGTACGAGCTATTTTGCATGCATTTGGCCGGTTTTTGAAAAAAAAAACAATCAGGTGGACAATATAATTAGAAAACATGCACACATATGTCTGTCACACATATTCATAATTTGAGAATAAAATGAGTTCACATCTGAATCCATAAGCTGAGTATAAATGAGTTCATCTCACACATGCATAAATTGAGCCTAAATGAGTTCATCTCGCAAATCTATAATTTAAGTCTAAACGAGTTCATCTAATACGTAGCTTTCTCTTTGGCGTCAACTTCTTTGGTGCAGCTGTAGTAGGCATTCTCTCTGGAGTAGTGGCCATAGATTGTGCTGAACCGCCCTCTCCCAGCAAGAAAGCAAGACGGCTACACACAGATAGTACTACACTTAGATAAATATTTTTGGACCAGATTTGTACATCAAAATGACATAGATTATTTGTGTGATTGTTTCTTACCTTCAAGTCACCCTTCCAGGACTATCCCGTAGTATTTGCTCTCTAGTTGGTCTCTGTGGGGTGCTAACCTCACCTGGCTTAGCCTTTGTGACATTCTTTCTAGGCTGCCTCTTTCTACAAGAAAAAAGGGAATTAAATTTTATAATGACATTATAATTTAAAGGATTGAATGTAAAAACAAAGGTTTACCTTTTTTTCTTTGTCCCATTGAGTTGGCACTTGGAACTAGCTTGCCTGTGACCCTTTTCACCGCATCTCTTGCAAGTCATTGGGCCTCTAATCATTTTCTTTCCCTTAGCGTTGGTTGGAGCAGTATCACCTGCATTAGTAGCATTGTCACCTGCATTGGTAGCACTACTGGTACCTTCACCATCTTTCCTACCTCTCTTCTTGTGTCCACCTTCAAGACATCCTTTTATCCTAAGTTTTCTTTGTCTTCCACTTTCTCTAGGATTAAGAGGTGCACCAACAACAAATGGCAGCTGCACATGTGGCCATTGCGATCTACCTATCATTGGCTCAATCTCTCTACCATAAGCAGCCTTGAATCTATCAACTGAGTAAGTCATGCACAAATTGTTCAAGGTCCACTCCCCGTTGTGAGGTTACAAAGGCCAATACATGTTGACATGGCTTACCAGTGTGCTGCTATTCAAGACAAGTACAAGTCCTTTGATGCAACTTGACAATATGCCTTTCAGCAATATTCTTACTGTGGTCCCAAATCTCTGCACTCCAATTAGCAGCTGACACAACTTTCAAGTGTCCCAATCCTCTAGTGTTGGCCTTTAGTTGAACCATAACACCTGGAAGTATCCTCCCAACTGGCAGTCTATCTGCAGTATTTCTCCTCTTGTTCCACAATCTCATAATCATCTCTCGAACCTTATCAGCAAGTTCAGCAATAGGTAAGTCCTTAATGTCTCGTATCCAATTATTAAAAACCTCAGCTATATTATTAGTGATGTAGTCACACTTGATATCTGGATTAAAGCCACACCTATACCACAACAGGTTATGGTAGTCAGTTAACCATTTCACCACTTCTTGTGATTCACATTTGATTGCAGCCATATGCTCAAAGAATATATCTTGATCGTATGCCCTTGCTGCAGGATACATCCTTCCGAGCCCTCTAAACTTTTTCTGAAAATTTTTCATAAGATGAAGAAAGCATTATCTCTGCTCTGCCTTTGGGA